AATCGGGTAAAATATTGTATCATTTTCAAAATACCTGTTTTCTAACAGGTTAGTGCATTTTGCGTTTAGATATATATTGTCCTCTTTTGTAACTGAACAGTACTGACACCGAAATGTAACTAAACTGCATTTAGCCAAGCAAGACTTAATATGTTTGCAGTTATAATATTTTAGAATTTATAAAATAATTATTATTCAATTATTCCATGAAAGTTTCAAATTAAAAGTCATATTTTTACAAAATAAAATTAAGAATGGAAATGGGGAATGTGTCAAAGAGACAACAACCCGACCATAGAACAGACAACAGCAGAAGGTCACCAACAGGTCTTCAATGCAGCGAGATGTATGACTTAGTTATAGTTTCAGTACACACACTATGCCAGGTCCCAATGCAAATAACAATACTTAAATTTTGTTATTGTAGAAAAACAAACACGTGTAACACCAGCACATCCATTTCCTCGGAGTTCAGTATTTTTGTAATTTTACTTTTTATCCATACTCACATTAAACACGTGTTTAAACACCCAATTACTCAGTAAAAAAAACGCACGTGTTTTGTGCGTTTAGACATGTAAAACAACAACACTACGTAAAAGAACTATGTTTTAAAAAATCATCATTTAGTTATAACTTAATGACACGTGTATGCATAACTATCATGAATAATATCAAACCAGAATTTCGACAAAAACATAAATTACAGGAATGAATTAAGAAAAGAGCTTAACATATTTTTGAATAATACATGCAATATCAAATTATGTATCATCATACGTATATTATTGAGGATTTATTTTCTGCCCCCGTGAAAAAAGCATCAAAATTGTCATTAATTAGTTATATTTATTAAACGATTTGTTTTTCATGTAATATGTCCTACTGTATCAAAGTTAATCAATAGCTACATAAAAACATTATAATTATAAATACGATATATCTACATCGGAACTTTTCAACCGGAATATAGAAATTTCTTACCATTGGACTTTACATAACATTATTCAGCAAATTAAAAGGTCCTAAGAACTAAATTTAAGTTTTACATTCATTTAGGAAAAAGGATTATCATTTTTTTCAATAATCGAACCATTTGATAATAATATCTCCTGCAGATCTTCAATCATATTTACATAATATATATACATGCATATTAGCGGTGTCAACCAGTGGTCGCCCCTGGACTAGGTAGTCATGATATACGGGGTATGAAATTATGTTAAGTTTTTAACCAGTCTATCTAAAATGCTGTCATGTTGGACAGATGGTCTATGACAAAGCAAAGTGCATCGATTGTTTCCACTGAACAATAGGATGTAATCCTTGTAAAGAGTAATTTAAAATTAAAATGTCCTTATTAATAGGCTTGTATGAAGTTAATATTTGTTTTTCTATTTCATTACTTCTTTGTTTCTTGTTGTATTTCCAAAATTGGGTAATTTTGAGGGGTATATCATGAAACAGTTTTTTTTTTCACTTCCGGACTAAGACAGGGACATGTTTGCTGCCTGACTGATCCCAAGACAGGAAACATGTCCATGTTTGGTTTCGGAGTGCAATTAACCTACACTGCCATAGTTTTTATTTACCATGAGATAGTGCGTATACACGATTCTCACGTGACCACTGGCTGGGGCAACTAATCTATACTATTAAAAGGAAGACCACATTTTGTGTGTCGCTTCTCTTCCTTCCACAATAAATTAATCATCAAGCCTCTGTGTCCTATAGGTATCATGCATAGTTCCATTTGACATCCTCGCTTATGATTATTCCGTTTAGGTTATTTTGGGAGGAAAACGAAATTAAAGGCGTCCGGATATATATTGTTTCCGTCATTGGACGGACTTTTAAGTCATAGACAAGACTTCCGTTTAGGATTGTTTAGAATTACACATAATTTTGGTAAATTTACAAACAACCCTTAATTCCTAGCTTGATTACATACAATGTTTTGGGTACCTGAGCTACAGGAACAGGTATCAAACATTCCTTTGGTCCCTGGAAGCAATAAAAATCCGATTTCCTGGGTCCCCTGGAATCGGTATATAATCATGCTTTATTTAAGAAATAATTCATGCAAGCCATATATTTGTTGAAAATTTTCACATGGCCTGGGTCGTTATATTGGAATTTCATCCCGAGCGTAAGCAAGGGATAAAATGAACGAATATAACGACCCAGGCCATTTGAAAATGAAACAAATCTATATAATGCATGAATTATTTTAATTCTAATATGGTAAAGTTTCCCATTAAAAATGTTGACGCCATTTCAGTAAAATATGGCGTTTTTGTGCACAAATCCCATTGCGACATCGTCGATTTATTGTGGTTGTGGTTTATCGAGTATTTTATCATGGCTCTATTCATATGACGTAATAAGCATCCCATATTAGAACTAATTTGCTTTTTCAAAAGTCAACACCTTATTAAGTCTGAAGCCATTTCCAGATTTCAGTAAAATATGACGGTTTTGTGCACAAATCACATTGTTTATTGAGTATTTTGTTATCATGATTATGGCTCTATTCATAATTCCAATCTTATTTGCAAATATCACATAATAATCCGATTTTATTAGTTGAATCCATTTCGAGTAACCGAAATTGAAAAAGTTAACATATCGATTATTCTGTCCTCTGCACAACGAAACAAAAAGCATGATGACAAAGCAACTTGCCTCCTAAAAATTGTGCGTTCATGTTACTACAAATAGTTGACCTTTGCGTTGACATTCTTTACATTTACATCCAATATTTTGAACTGGTGAAAAATTCAAATGTTATATTGACACCAGTTCATGTTTAAGATACTTTTGATACCTTTCTTGAAATTCTCCAGTCATCAAATCTTTTACAAACATTCACCCTACAACAGTTTACATACTTTCAACCACGCTCTAAATGCCCGCGATTTCGCGGGTGTGTTCTATTATGACTTATATTTTAATACAAATATCCCGCTGTAAAATATAAGTTCACTCATATATTTGTTTTCACCTTAGTCGCATGCTCTTTAAGTAGAAAGACATATTTACCAAGCATTAAAAAGTTTTACACATTTTTCTCACGTAGAAAGCATTTAAATGTAGAATCACCTGCACAAACATTATTCATAAAGACAATGTCTTCCCAAATTAAGTTTGGAGGGCGCAATTATCAGTTGGTAAATACTAAGACTTAACACGGATCAATGAACGATGAAAATGGGGTTATGGTCAGATGTATCCTTCCTGCTGGGCATGTAAACCTTAAAATCATTTCATACACCAAATATAATCTACATATTGCCTAAAGTATCTGAGACATTGACTTGACCTCTATAACCTTACCTTTATGAATGATCCATCTAATGAGGTCAACGTCTGATGAACCCTATCAGGTCAGGGTATTATGCAATATAGTATAACTTGCATACCAGACTGTCTGTCGTAACATGTGGCTATACTTACCAATCAGTTACATCACTTACTTTATTCTTTAAGTGTAAACATGTGTCAACTATATACAATATATTAAATAAATCTGATTGCATGGTAATTATTGTGTCTCTTTGTCGCCACCTCAAACGTTTTATAAGCATTTGCACTATTATGATGATCTGTTAATACGTTTAAATAATTAATCTCATTTTACATTAAAGGCTTTAATTATACACACAAATGCATTATAAAACAATCGGGTAAAATATTGTATAATTTTCAAAATAACTGTTTTCTAACAGGTTAGTGCGTTTTGCGTTTATATATATTGTCCTTTTTGTAACTGAACAGTACTGACACTGAAATGTAACTATACTGCACTTATCGAAGCAAGACTTAATATTGTATTTAGAATATTGAATCTAGTGTATATTATGAATAGATCTGATGTTTGGTTTGCAGTTATAATATTTTAGAATTTTTAAAATAAATATTAATCAATTATTCCATGAAAGTTTCAAATTAAATGCCATATTTTTAAAACATGTATGACTTTTAGTTGTCGTTGTTATCTTTATAATTCACAAGTTCTATCTCATTCTGCACGTTATCTATTAAACTCGAAACAGGTAATAGTTACGAAAACAGATAAATAACAATGATACAGTTTCCTATTACCACTGTTTACTATAAAATTAAAACAAGAAAACTTTTTTCGTGCAGTTTCCAATTGTACCAATAAACAGGTCAGACTAACTTCAGACACAATTATGCATGACAATTCCAATAAAGTAAATAAGAGGCAACATGAGTGTACAGATGAATGTTCAAATTGCATTATTCCATTTAGAACGTGTTCACATCAAGAGAATATCAAAACTTGGGAGAATCGTACAAACTCCAAAAGGAGCGAGGCCGTTTGGGTCAAATAGTAAAGAGTCTTTTCTTGTCATGCATTCTCGCTCTGCCATACACATGAAAATCAGCATTCAACAAAACGTCACTATAGGGAATAGGACACAATCTGTATATTTACAGACTAGTAAAACGGATGAAAATAATAGACCAAAAAATAATAACTACATGTAAAAGTAAGCATGGAACATAAGATAACAACACAGTGTCAAATTAAGGTACATGTACTTGTAATCATATGGTAATGCAAATTTGGCATAATTTGATTGCTTTTTGGTTTAACTGCTTTTAAGTATCAAAGAAAAGTGGACTTCAGAGAGTTGTGCCAGTGGCAATCATACCCCTTCGTCTTATTTATATATCCACACTTGCATATAAGTATGAATACTTTTGAATCATTTTAGTGATTAGACATGCTTATTGTATATTTATATGTGACTAGGTAAATATGGCCTGTTGCGTTGTTATTAATTATATCATGAAACAAGTTATGTTTACAGGTTTGTGTATCTTTCTTAATTTTGACATTCAAAACCATTCCTTATATATTGTTAAATATACTTTATTCTGATAATTATATAGCTATGGTATACACTGAAATATAGACAATATAACGATACAAATGTACATTTGTTATAGTAACATAAAATTACAGAACATTAGCAAGAGCATGCCAAACATTATAGAAAAAAAAATGTACACTAGTCTGAAAGGAATGGAATTCGCAATACTTTTGAATAATATCATGTAAGTAAGTATTGTTTCTCCAATTTTAATTTTATATTTCTCGGCCCAAATTTGTAGGGATGTGTGCTAAGATCGTTCATCATTTAAAAGATTTTGTTCGCAACGGTTGTCCAGATAGGAATTAGAATCCAATGCTTTTACTTTCCGCATGACCAACACTATCAACAGTAAATTGATGTAAACGTTCTGTAATAACTAAACAATCATCATCTAGCAACATCTTATATTGCGTTTCATCATCCAATTGATCGGAATATTGCTTGTTTATACTAGACTAAAGTATGTATCTGTGAAACCAAGCCGGAGAATATCGGCATATTCTTCCTTAAGAAAAATTTGTCTAGATTTCCTAAAACACACAGCGATTTTATACGCTGATTTTGTTTGCTCTTTAAGTGATCCAAATGGCAATCATCTGACCACAATTGCTAACAAACGACATGACAATAAAAACCATATCAAAACTATCACATGCCGCACTGCCATACAACTTTATATAATGATTAGTAACATTGTTCAATTGATTGTTCAGAAAAAGCAAGAAAATGTGAGATCATAATCGAATTTGACCAATGCAGAACTAAGATCAAACAAACCACACGTTGATTACATACAAAACAATCAACAGGTCAGGAAAAAGGATAAATCGGGTACGAATTAGAAAAATATATTCATATTATGGGAAAGTTGCACAATGAACAACGGACTATACATATTTTGTACTGATGGGTTAGTAATGTAGTAAATTGGAATGTATTTGTTATTTTGTTGTGTAGTCAAACTATATCTGATAAACAGAAAATGCATTTCTTCTCCGATCATGGTTTGACAGTGTCGACAAAAATGTCTATGTCAAGAAATATTAGCAAATCTACCGATTTCATTTGTAAACGTATAGACTATCATATATGTCTGTAAAACCAAGCTGGGGAATATCGCCATATTTCTTATTACAGAAATCAGCGAATCATTAAAAAAAAATCTAGATATCCAAAGACCAACAGTGTTTTTTATGTGAATTTTTGTTTTCCTTTTCACGCGATCCAAATAGCGATCTTCTGGCTAAAATTGCCACCAAATGACTTGCCAATAAAACCTATATCAAAAACATCTTTTGATTCACTGCTACAAAGCTTTATATAATGTTTAGTGAAATTTTTCAATGGATTTTCTGCAGTCCGACCAATTGTCTCGATTTCGTAAGCATTTGATTAAATTCTTTAATGAGTATGTAAACTGAATGAGTTAAAGCTTTTCTCCGGTTGAACATCGTCTCAACCTCAACAAATAAAGAAGTATGCAAAATATACATTGTCATTTGTTTAAACTGAAAAAAAATGTATATGTCATTTCATGATAATTCATAAAAATACGATTTCCTTTCTCTCAATTTTTGCTTTGAAACTAAAAATCTTTATTTAAAAAACTCTCGATCGCATGAAATGGGCAACTGGAGTTCATGACTATATAAAATGGAGATACACAACAACAGCATAACATAAGAATCTTATACCGACAAACATACGAATAATACAGATTATGAATAGTAACTGTACTGTTTGAATAAAAAGTAGTGACGATATACATTGATATACATGTGTACATGGTTAAAGGTCATATAAATTCCTTTATACCATTAAAGTATGTTATATATACAAATATAATTCGTCTCAAATTTAGCCCAGCAATGTTAAATCTTCAAATTTGCCTTAGCAAATTGTTTTTCTTCCCTTAGCGGGATTCGAACCCTTTCCTCTGTGACATCGTGGCAACACCACCTTCACCGTGTCCAGCGCCTAAGACCACTCGACCACCTAGGCTACATTACAATATAGCTTTCGGAGGTCAATGTAATGCCTTTCCTCGTCGGCTTTATCTAGGGTTGTAACACAGTATATGATGTATAGTGGCAAGTAGGTGGTGTATCTTTCAGATCAGCTTTTTTTGTCTGTCGTAAAGGAGGCTAAGTTAATTACCATGCCGCCACATCAAATTCTAATTTTATTATACACGTCAAAACATGTGACAACTTTATGACTGACATCGGATCACACGTGATGATACACGGCTAACACCATAATATACATATAATTCGTCTCCAATTTAGCCCAACAATGTTAGATCTTAAAATTTGCATGAGCAAATTTTTCTCCTTCCCTAAGCGGGATTCGAACCCTTGCTTCTGTGACATCGTGACAGCACCGCCTGCACCGTGTCCATGTCCTCAAACGAACAGTGTTGTTTACGTAGATTTGTATTTTGTTCTTTAAGTGATTCAATTGGCCCACAAATAAAGTGACAATAAAAAAAATTTCAAACTATCACATGCTTAACTGCTATAAAATTGTATACATGTATAATGTTTAGTAACATTGTTTAGACCAGATGTCTCAATATGGTGAACAATCCGGTCCAACATCTTTGCAACAAAAACATTACAAAAAGTATGCAAAATATAAACACCCTTTCTTTAAATCCGAGAAAAGATTTATATGATATTTCATGACAATTATCTAAAATAGGATTTATTCCTTTCGGAAGTTTAATCGAAACTTTATTTGAAAAACTCACAATCACATTAAATGTCTAACAGGAGTTCCTGACTATATATAATATAGATAGATAATAACAGTATAAAATCAGAGTCTTTTACCGACAAACATAAGAATAATACAAATTATGAATAGTTACTATACGGTTTGAATAAACAGAAGTGACGATATACATCAAATTGTAAACAAGCATATCACTGCCACTACCCAGCTTAAAGCCTCTTCCGAACATTTGAAAGTCCCTACTATGTACTGGTTACCTAAATTGCACAAAAAAACATTTAAATTCCGTTTCATCTCCGCATCTAGTAAGTGTTCTACTACTAATCTATCAGTGCTTCTTACTACCTCCCTTACTACTATCAAAGAACTTGTTATTAACTTTTGTAATAAAGCTTATGAAAATAATGGTATTAATTATTTTTGGAGTGTTAAAAATTCTTTAGAGGTTATAGATAAAATACATGCTTTTGATGGTCCTTTTAATTCTGTTGACAGTTTCTACTCTCTATACTACACTTCCACACAATCTTATCAAGAAAAAGTTTCATATTTAATTAAATGGTCTTTTGAAAAATCTCATTACAAATTTATTTGCTGTAACTCGTTTAAAGCCTTTTTCTGTAACGAAAAAGGAAAGTATGCTAGATACACTTACTGGAAATGTGAAGACATGATTGAAGCTTTAAATTTTCTCCTGTACAACATATATGTACGTTTCGGCGATAGAGTGTATCGACAAGTAGTAGGTATTCCTATGGGCACTAAGTGCGCCCCTTTAATAGCAGATTTATTCCTGTATTGCTATGAATATGTTTATGACCAAACTCAGTAAAGACACGTCATTGTTACATTTGATTGATACATTCAACAATACCTTCCGTTATCTAGATGATCTGTTTTCGTTAAATAATCCAGAGTTCTCTAAATATACTACCGAAATTTAACCAATACAACTTACTTTAACTAAATCTAACATAAACAGCAGTAGTTGTCCTCTTCTGGATTTGGACATTTCAATCTCTAAAGGAAAACTCCATACGAAAATTTCCGACAAAAGAGACGATTTTTCATTCCCTATTGTTAATTTTCCTTTTTTAGACGGCGATGTTCCTTTGGCTCCATCATACGGTGTTTATATATCCCAACTCGTTCGTTATGCCCGTGTGTGTAGTGATGTCAATAGATTTTAACGAACGTAATCAATGCATCTCTGGTAAATTATTAAATCAAGGATTTCGTTACCATAAATTACGTAAAACTTTTGCTAAGTTCTTTCATAGATACAAAGATTTGATTAGTAAATTTGGCTGTACTTGTAGAAAACTGATTAAAAACGGTATTTCACATCCTAAATTTTACGGTAATATTGTACTTAAAGCGCGGAAATCACTATGTGATCCGTGTAAACTCATCGAAACTTTAAACAAACTTATTAGTAAAGGTTATCTTACCAATGTTGTAATTAGATCTTTGAATATAGTTTACATTGGCACTAATATCGATTTTGTCATCAGCAAATTAAAACATAACTAAATTTGTATTTTTTTTTCAAGCGGGATGTATAAAGACACACCCACGTTCGTTTAGATCTATAAAGAGGATAAACTCCTAACTATCCTACTGTCTGTCGATACATTTATTTTTGGCATTGCACTAGTCATGTCTTCTTTGACTGTCCATGACGTTAAAATACTAAATCCCTGGGATGTGTTTTAGTTGATTTTAGTCTCTGATGCATGATTTTTTTCATTATTAATTGTTTTGGCTTTTAACTAGCTGTGAGTAACTGCGAGTACTCTCAAATCGTACTTTCTTGTTTATTTGACCTGTTGATAATAATTGTATTGCTTTTTTGTTATTTAATGTTATTCAGGGTTATATCTGGTCTATATATCAGCTTTGATAAGTATAACTATAAATTTTCACTTCGTACTATGAACATCAAAATAATTTGTTTTGTAAAAATATTTCCTTTCTTTATTGGTACTGTACACGTACACCTAACAACAAAATTATTTTCATTCACCTGTGTTTAAAGTTATTGCAAATGGCTAATATTTTTGTTCGAGCATATTGTTTTTCTTTAATTGTTTAACATTTCTTACCGATATAACATGTTACTTTTATTATTCTTCCCTTAGTTTATTTATTTTGTATTTACATTGTGTCATAGGTCAAATTTATTTGTTCAGTGTATGTTCAATGGTGGTAATATGTCCTTTGATTGAGTTAAGCTATTTCAGTTGATATTTTATAGTGTGTCTTTCTATGTTGTGATATTACATTATTGTTTCAGAAAAAGGGTGAAGGATTGGTACCATTAAAACGTTTAAACCCACTGCATTTGTTTGCACCTGTCTTAAGTCAGGAATCTGATGTTCAGTAGCTGTCATTTGTTGATGTGGTTCATAAGTGTTTCTCGTTTCTCGTTTTTTATATAGATTAGACCGTTGGTTTTCCCGTTTGAATGGTTTTACACTAGTAATTTTTTGGGGCCCTTTATAGCTTACTGTTCGGTGTGAGCCAAGGCTCCGTGTTGAAGACCGTACTGTGACCTATAATGGTTTACTTTTATAAATCTTGACTTGGATGGAGAGTTGTTTCATTGGCACTCATACCACATCTTCTTATATCTATGTACACAATAAAGGGTTTAATTAACCAGTTACTTAAAACACATCATAAATTGTATATGTACACTGGTCATTAATGCAGGTCTAATACAGAATAACCGGTTAATACAGAATTTTTACGAGTCGTACTACAGGATTTTAATAACCGCGTTTTTCTTAAAAAAAGGTCTCAGAAAATGGATGTGTGTATTACGTGAAATATTAGATTGCAACAAGCTTGATATTAAAGTTGTTGTTATTTTTCATATTTTATGAATTTTTTCTTTGAGTATATATAATTATGACCTGTAGAAAGAATGAATATTCAGAAATGTCAACCGTTAAAAATCATTTCTCTGTGGGCGCAGTCCGAAGAGAAAGAAATTTGCAAGGTTTTCAATCTTGGATATGTACCACTTCGAAGGTCCCAAATTTGTTTAAATATACCAAACTAACAGTAGAAGGGCTTTTCGCGAACCTTTAGTAAAACCTCTTGCATATGTTTTACCGTATTAACGAATTGTCAAAACACTCACTTTAAAGAATTATTTTCTGTCCTACATGCCTCATATGTACACCAAAGGAAGACTCTTTCTGTAAAATATTGATTACACTGAAAATGGCCGTTTGTGAAAGCTATCCCGGCACCAGATAGATTGCAACCACTTGTTTTTTTTCGTTACTTCACCGACTTCTAATCTGGTAGTTGCTCTTTTGTTTACAAACATCAGTTACGTCATTTTAATTAGAGACAAATCTTAAAAATCGAGTTGCTCAAATGGTTTTTACAGGCGAATAAAAGAGTAATTCATGGCACATTATTAATTGCATGGGCTATCGACATCCCTGGTGTTTTCATATCAATCCTGTATTATGTCCTCGTACAGTCGTATTAGGTTTCAATTAACTGTATTGGCTCCGGCTACGCCTTGAGCCAATACTGTTAACCTCGACCCAATACAACTGCCCTTAGACATAATACAGGATTAATATGAAACACTCATTTAATTACACTGTTATATACATTTTGTTATACTATTAAAGTATGTTGATATTTAAATATATATAGTATGGTAATGTTGCACAATCTTTTGTACTGATGGGTTAGTAGGGAAGTAACTTGAAATGTATTTTATCTCCAAACATATTCTGACAGCGTCTACAAAATTGTTTATGTCTGGATATATTAACAAATCAACCGGTTTCAATAGGATACCTAAACACTATTGCATTTATCCGTGAAATGAAGCTGGAGAATATCGCCATATTCTTTATTCAGAAAATCAACTAACGGTTGAAAACTTTCTAGATATACCAAAATAAACTGCATTTTGTACGTGTAATGTTGTCTTGCTCTTTAAGTGATTCAATGTTCTGTATATTTTCTGTTCCCAAACCAGTTATATAGATTTCGTGAACAAAATTGCTTAAATTATTAAATGGATATGTAAACTGAATAAAATGAAACTTTTCGAACATCTTCGCAGCCTCAACGACATCAGAAGTATCCAAAATAAATACTGGCATTTATTAAAAAAATGTATATGTCATTTCGTCATGATTGATAAAAATACGATTTACTCCTTTCTCAATTTTGACTTTGAAACTTTGAAACTCTCAGTGGCATTAGATGCGCAACAGGAGTACATGACTATACAGAACAGTGATGCACAACAACAGTGTAACATGTGAATCAAATAAAGACATACGTTAGAATAATGCAAAATATGAACTGTACTGTTTAAACAAAAAGATAGTGACGATATACATGTACAAAATAAAGGAGTATATACATTCCTTTATAACATAAAAGTAAGTTGATAGTTATATACCAATATATATATATATCTTTGAACGTTGTTTTCAATTTAGATTTGTTTATATTTTTTCGTTTGGGCTTCTATTATATGTGCCTTCAGGGTTTATATAATCCATTCATCCTATTTCGACTCTTCAAAATTCAAGAGTCTATCCTAAATTGAGGTAAGTTATATGGCCTTCCAAATACCGTTTCGATTCCTAACATCACTGAAGAGACATTACTTGTCGAAATCTGGATATGGTGTACCAATGTTTGCACCTCATGTTTGCGGTATACCATCTTTTCCGCAAGTTTATTGTTTTCTGTTTGGTATTGAATTAATAATTAAGATCAATTGTGTAACATCTGGTGATCCGTTTATTTGGCAATCGCAATGGCAGTCAGCAGGGTTTAAGAACATCTGTTGTTCGACCTGCTAGTCAAATGCGTTTTGTTAAAATATACTTTTTCACTTTTTTTGTCTTTTGGAAAATGTTGTTTGCGCTGTATTTAGACCCCTCTACCAAGAAATTTGTTTTGCATGCACACGTATAAAAATTGCGGTTTTTATTCAACGCAATCATAGGTTTGAACGTTGTTTTCAATTTAGATTTGTTGATATATATATATATATAATTCGTCTTAACAACAGCCCAATAATGTTAGATCTGTAAATTTGCGGAAGAAAATATTTTGTTCTTCCCTGGCCGGGATTTGAACTCAAACTCAGACTCAAGCGAATATATATATATATGTGTGTGTATTAAAGGAATGCTGCACACTAACAACAACCAATACATCTAATGTACTGAGGGTTAGTAGTGTATTAAATTGGAATGTGTTTTTTTAAATTTGTTGCGAAGTAAACTATTTCTGTTTGGTTAAATACAAATAGAAAATGCATTTTATCTTTAATCGTATTTTGACAGTGCTGATAAAAATGTTTATTTCTGGAAATATCAGCCGATGCATGAAACTTAAAACTATCTTACGTGTCGGTAATACCAAGCTGGAGAATACTGCCATATTTTTCATTTCAAAAATCAACGACCTGGTGAAAATTTTCTAAATATCTTAAAACGAACAGCGTTTTAAACGTAGATTTATGTTGTGCTCCTTTTGTTATCCAAACCGCGATTCTCAAATTTGCCCACAAATGAAATGACGATAAAATGTATATCAATACTATAATATGCTTGACTGCTACAAAACTTAATACAATGTTTAGTAACATTGTTCAATGCATTTTCTGTCGTCGAACAATTTTCTCAATATCGTAAACAACATCGATTAAATATTTTAATGGGTATTCAAACGGAATAAAGTCAAACTTTTCTCCAGTCAAATTTTTGTTTTAATGTCTGGTAGATTGTATAAGGATGGAAAAGTAAAGGTCAAATCCGGAACAAAAAATACGTAAATACAAATTAAAATGATTTGCAATTATATATGTTTATATTATAGTATATTTGTATTTGTAATTAGCTAACAATTATAAAGTAAAACTTATCTTTAAAACATCCTGTTCTTAAAGATATTAATATATCAGGGTACCTTGTTTGTGAAAGGTGTAGCAATAAGGTTATTGTAACAGCTTTAGACCAATAAATCAATTATCATAGTAAAAAAAAAAAAAAAAAAAAAAAGTAAATTTTTGTTTCAACATTAGAAATACAAGATGTATGCAAAACAATGCAAAATATACACAACCATTTTTCAAATTTGAAAAAAAAAAATATAAATATATGACATTTCATAATAATTATTCAAAATACGATTTACTTCTTTTGCCTTGATGCCTTGAAATTTACAAAAAGTAAAATAACAAAAATACCGAACTCCAAGGAAAATTCAAAACAAAAAGTACCTAATCGAATGACAAAATAAAAAGCTCAAACACATCAAACGAATGGAAAACAAATGTCATATTCCTGACTTGGTACAGGCATTTCCTTATGAAGAAGATGGTGGACTAAATCTGATTTTATAGCTAGCTAAACCTCTCACTTGTATGACAGTCATATATAATTACATTATAATGACAACAATGTGTGAGTAAGACAAACAGACATAATAGGTAAAAATGTCAAAATTGGGGGTACATCAGTCATCATTGTGTTATAATCTTAATCATAATAAAAAAAAAAATCAAAGAAAAACAAAATGGCACCAAAAAACTCTATAGAAAAATTACATAAGCAAAAATGAAAGACGAAACTACAAAAATGACCATAGCACAATAACACAATGGCCAAAAGTATATACCAAAAATGGACTAACCAGTAAAGGTTAAAAATATACAAAGAAAAATAAAAAAAACACACTATAACACGTAAGTAAGATGATAAACAACGTCAGTACCTATAATCTATACTTCAAGACCATCATGTATTATTTGTAAAGTAAATACGGAATAATTATTAACAAGTTCTTGGTATCTTCCGATGACTTTTTATAAAAAAAGACGAGACGTTCTTTGACATAACAAGGGTTCATCAAATTTCTGCTGAGTCACTGGTGACGTGTTATAAAGTCTGGGTCGCAGCTGTAAGCTCATGAATACCGAATGAGTTGGGAAATATATATAACCCATATGCAGGTGAAGTTGGTATATTGCTGCTTATGTGGAGAAATTTATAATTTCAAAATTAAAATCGTCTCGTTTGTCATATATTTTGGTATTAACATGACCACTAATGTCAAATTCGAGGTATAAGTCTGGGAACGAAGAGGGAAGTCGTTTCTGTTCTTTCTCTAATCTCTAGATCATTAGGATATATTAATGGAACCCAACAAGAAAAGTTTGGATTGCTAATGGAAAAACATCATCAATATATCCGAATGTGAAATTAAATGATATGGTTTCTTTGATTTTCTTCAGACTCATATGAAAATAAAAAGAGGTAGGCTAGGAGAAGCAAACTTTAAGTACAAAAATCGCAGTCGCACTAAATGCACAACATGAGTACTGGCTGTATAAAATATAGATACACATTTCCACTATATAGATATATATTAAAATAATACAGAATATGAATAATACAGTATAACCTGTGACAAACTCTGATAAATGTTCACCATCTACAATGTCCAACATCAAGTAATCCTTCTGCAAAAAAAACAAAACAAACTATACTTAAAATCATTACTGAAATGTCAAGCAAATTAAACACAACATGGTAAATAAAAAAAAATGATATATGCATACTAATGTATGTTATGCTTGTCAAAACATGAAATAGTGTCCAAAACGTATTTATTTTTGCTCTAGGGAATAAATCAAAACTGACTGCAGATACCAATTTTGATAGTTAATCAGTATAACATTAATCTATATAAAGCATAATAATTGAATAAATACAAATGCCAAATGTACACAAAAAGTGATGAATCAAATTATTACTACCAGTTATAAATCAAAACCGAACAAAATTATTTTAGGCAAGGCAGTAAATTCTTATTTTCAACGGTTCTACAGCCCATTTATACTTATATGTGCTAAAAATGACATTCATAGACAAAAATTAACCATGTCTGGAAATATGATTTCTTCTGTTTAAGGGGGGGGGGGGGAGGGGGGTTATAATAGAAAGCATTGTCGGCCACAGTGAATTTTGGAGGGAGTTTGAGTCCATCTGTCTCCTAACGTGGAATGAAATAATTTTCAGGGAATAGACCAATGGATATTGTATAACATATCTAAAATCCAATGTTGGCAAAAAATGCAAGATATTGAATTTTACATCAACCTTTCCTATATTTTGATATATTTCTGAATTATCTAAATTCGTATATAACCCGGTAATTCTATGCTATAAATTAACATAAGACCTGAATTGCATAAAATATCTTGCATGACATATTTAACATACATATTGTCATTATTGTTATGTTTAATTGCCAAGCAAATCCTTTAAATAGGGAAAACACATTCGGAGGAGTTTTATGAGTTAACTTCCCTTATTTACACTCTCTATTATGGAAATAGAAAATTACCATAAGTTGTCTCTCATGCAGACTTCTCATATTTACTAGAATTTTTCTGGAAAATCAATAAATTAGGACACACTAACAAAACCTATTTCACAGTGAAATAAAAACACAAATGTATATTTGAGTGGATTGCAGTGTCTGGAAAGAAGTCAAAGAGAACCTTTAAAGTTTATAATTACTTATTTTCATATCACACCAGATTTTTGTTTTAGATTTATGCTAGATTGCTTCATTTAAACATATGCCAGCAACATTAACACTATGTTGGCACTTATCGCAGAGGAAGTAAACTGAAGTGTTGCTACTCAAAATATACAACTTTTAACAGGGCAACAGTAGACAGATGTGCCTCTCAGAGAGTCTGCAAGGAATACTGGTTGGCGTCACAAGGTTATCAACAAAAAACAGGTCAAAAGTAAAATAGCAAAAATACCGAACTTTAAGGAAAGTCCTTCATCAACATGATCAAATGGCAAAATCAAAAGCTCAACACATCAAACGAATGGAAAACAACTGTCATATTCCTGACTTGGTATAGTCATTTCCTCATGTAGAAAATGGTGGATTAAACGTGATTGTATAGCTAGCTAACCTCTCACTTGTATGACAGTCGAATAGAATTCCATTATATTGACAACAATGTGTGAGCAAAACAAATAGACATAATAGGTAAAAATGTCAAAAATTGGGTTACAGCAGTCAACATTGTGTTATAATCTTAATCACTATAAAAACAAATAACAATTTCAACAATGAAAACTAAATGGCATCAAGACACTATACGGACAAAGTACGTAAGCAAAAATGAAAGACAAGAATACACAAAATTACCATAGCAAAATAAAACAATGGCGGGATGTATAAATCACTAGCCACGCCAAAAATGGACTAAACAGTAAAGTTTAAAAATATACAAAGACAAAAAAAAACCACACTATAACACGGAAAAATATCCCCTTTCCATACACATACACATATATTGAATAATGAAGGACTATTTGATTTTTGGGGAAAGCGAGAGGATTGAGCTTGGAAAATTTTAGCAAATATCAAATATAAGTGTTTTCCGGATTAAATTATTTATTTTTGCCATAGGCTGATTTAAATCAATTATGTTTACACAAGCTAGCATCTGAAGCAAACACTTTTTTCCTTACCTTCTGCAACAAACTATGTACTTCAAATTATTGTAATTATTGTAAAAAATTCCTTTCAAATATTATCCAAGCACCCCCACCCCCCTCTTCCAGAATATTTAACAGTCATCCCCCAGGAAAAAGGACTAACAAAATTAGCACAACATTGTAAATTTTATTTTGCTATTTTTGGGGGAGTATAGACTTTAACTGGGTGTTTTTCGGAGGAGGGGGTCTAAATCTTGTATTTACATAGGTTTTCTATTACAAATCTTTCAATTTTAGCAGATATAAGGTATGTTTGTTTGGTCTATTTGGGAAAGTTATTTTTGATGGGTGTGTCGTTAGTTTTTTTTTAGAGGCCGACATTCATTTTCTCTGTCAGAAGAGTCGTCCTACAATATATTTAGATTTAAATTTACCACAGAATGATTGAGAAAAAGCAATTGGGTACTGTATAACGTACATGTTTTTCACTCTTTTCTGGGATGTTTCCTATATCTTGACCATGTTTTAGAATAAACCCTTTTCAATTTTGTGAAAAGTATTCTTGTTCAAACTATTTTTAAAATTAAAACATGCATTTTATTTGCATTTGAATCTGTATTTGGATCATGTGAAAAAAACTGCATAGAGTGTTTTAGTAATCAAATTACAAAACAAAAACACCTTAGAATATCATAGTTTGTAATTTATCAATGTCCTCATCAGACTGCAGTTTAATGATGCAAAGATTGTACAGTAAACAACAATTTGTTATTTGGAAATATTCAAGTTTATTCTTTTGGTAAGCACATTCTCTTATATTATTCTTGCATCTCTTATTCTTGAATATATATATATTTGTTTTGAACATTTTCTTTTTTTGTTTCAATTTCTTTTTTTTTATTTTTATTTTTGCAAATATTTTACTACATACTTCATGTGTATGCAGCATCCGGGACAAGCATCACAATTATCTGTAAAAAATAATATTATTATACAATGTATAAAATCGGTTTGACACTGGCTTGTTGTATCTTGTGTAAGATATTTTAGGCGTCTGTCTATATTAAGATTTACAATATTATGATGTTTTTTTTATTCCAGTTTCAACATATAGTTTTTCTGCGTTTCTTCTACTTTGTTCAAAATTTTTAGTTACATCAACTGCTCAAGGGAGAAAACGTATAGGTTTTATACCTGTCAATGAAAATACGCATATTTTTGGTTGATCAAATGCTTTATAACTTTTATCTTTGTTTTTTTTTTCAGGTTCAGGTTAGAACTGTGACATTCAATAGATCAAATTAAGTATAGCCGCACATTTATGAATATGATATGAGTTAAGTAATATCTGTATATTTTGAAGTATGATCACATCAAATTGTAACAAATTAGCATTGGTCGCGTGGAAACCTTCTCAATACCAATAAACATGTCAATATGTACTATTATAGATTCGTTAAACAAAAATATCAAATCTTGAGCAGATCCATCATTCATGTTTCCTACCAATGCCCCTCCCCCTGTCGATCCTTTTTGGAATGTTTGCCAAATTTTCCAATCCATAAAAACATATGGGAAAAAAACAACACTTAAAAGAACAAATTGATAATTTGCACAGACTCACAGAAAGTCGTAATTGAGAGACAGTGGCAGGTAAACAGATTCCAAAAAGAGGTTTTCAGGTTCAAAATTTGATATTTGTGTATATTTCAGAAGAAATCACATGCCTTGAAAAGCAGATATTTAAAATGCGAATTTTCTTAGTTACACACAAGAAGACTGTGGAGTCTTACACTTAAAGTTTATTTTTGATGACCAATAAAAATCCTTGTTACAAATGAATTGCATAGGAATGATCAAAACAAACTCCATAAAAAACAAAAATGACGGATCAAATTCTCGGTACGCTTGTCACTCTCTACTAGTAGTAACCTGTGCATTGTTCGAAAAAAGCAATGTCAGAAAAAAATAAAGTCCGTTTTGAGGAATGGGACCTTTTACAACAATATGTATCTAGTCAATCTTGAGAAAAAAAAATCATATTGGGCTACATGCTCTGAAATGAAAGTTGTCATGAATTACAACATTATTCCATATATTATGATAATTTTGTTATGTTATGTAGGTACAAATACCATTAATTGAGAAGAGAAAACTCAGATGGAGGATATAATGTAACAGCAGAAACTGAAGATTTTCCCAGCACAAAATAAATTGCAGACACTGATGATAAATCAGATGACGATCCATTATGATGAGCACAAAGGTTCTGCTAAAACCAGTTTGAACAACTTATTTCACTATTACAGAAGGATGGGCTCTTAAGATTTCTATTAACCATTGAAGCACTTCAATAGCTAGGTTAAGAAATGTTTACATTATATATACATGGAATGCAATGCTACAGAAAAAGACCAAATGTTGATCAAACATGTAACATTTTGAAACTATTAATGAACGATGATGGAAGAAAAAAAATGAATTACGATAAATCGGTAACCACATCTTAAGTTAGGGTTTTATTTGTCATCTTTGTTAAACTTGGATCTAAAGATCCAGCAAAGTTACAACTGAGAATTTGAATGCAGTTGATCATGAACATTTGCAAAAAGTAAAATCACAAAAATACTGAACTCCGAGGAAAATTCAAAAAGGAAAGTCCCCAATCAAATGGCAAAATCAAAAGTTCAAACACATCAAACGAATGGATAACAACTGTCATATTCCTGACTTGGTACAAGGCAGAAATGAAAACTGTTGATATTCATGCTGTTTTCTTCGACTTGGCGGTGTATATTATTATACAGTTATCAAGGAGATTTGAATTTTACATTTTTTTATTGTTTCAGACACAGACCAGTATAACTAACGAATAGCTTTGATATATGTATTTTTGATTTAAATAAAATGAAAATCATTGAAAAAATGTTGTTTAATGTACATACAAAATCAGAAAATTATAATCTACTTGAAGGAAAAAAGTGCTTTGGGGGGGGGGGGGGGGGGGGGAGGGGGGAAGTGTGCATATTGAAAATGTTGAAAGTGTCAACTCTGACTTAAAGATGAAGAACAGCAACAAAATATCTGTTCATTTGCTGGTATTTCATCATGTATTAATTGTCAAACACCTTGGCAGATGTCGTTTCATGAATCTATGCGAACAATTCACCAATTTAGATATAGTGATAGGTGAGTTGATAATGTACTTCCACTTGTCTTATTCATTTTGAAAGATTCATAAAAGTATCAATAATATGAATAAGCCTTAGACCCTAAGCATTCTTCCTTTAACAAATAATAACACAGGCCAGAAAGGCCAGCTTTACCTTGAACATTGTTGATCCTTTTGTTCAATTACGTATTATAACTCTGCTTGTGAAAAAGGGGAATATATAATTTTCATGAGGTCTGTCTGTCTTTCTGTCCATCTATTTGTTTTTAAAATATCTGCAATCCTTAAGATTGCATTTCTGTAAATATTGACAATGCAATTTCCCATAGGAACTCCCTTTACGGCTAAAACTGCACCACTTTTACTATGAGGTCAAAATATAGGGCTGTGCGGCATATTTTCAACGTTTATACGCCCCGAACTTCTAAGATTTTAAACTAACACTCAATTTCTTAACTACCCTACCTTAACAGTAGGATTACCACAGATTTCAATATAAACAATATGCATATGTATATTTACTGGTAACATTCTCAAGTTATGTATCTATGAGATGAAACATAGAGATCATAACTGGGATCCAGTTTGTAAACAAAATTAATTATCCATGAATATTCTATATCTCCCCAAAAGAGGCGTGGTTTGAGAAACAGCTGTATTTACAAAGTGCAACCTATACAAACATTTATTCAAATAGAAAACTCTTAAATTATAGCATTTACAAGTTAAATTATTTGTTTAATGACCCAGGGGGTAGGCAATTTTCTCTGTTTTTTGCCCCTCGGGCCTCAAATTTCCTCAATTATTTTGCTGTTTCTAGCAATATGAAATATTTGGTACATATTCAGGATAGAGCACACTAATGTATATTTGTTGAGATATTTATGTATTTCTAGCTTGATTTTGTTATGCCGCGGTGACAAAAAAGCAGATTTAGGTGTTACGGCTTACTTTTGGGTTATCGACAGGAAAAAAACACCCCACCAATAATATTCAGGAAGGATCTATGAGTTGCAATGACTGCGAAGAGTAAATATAAGCACTTCTCAACAATTCATCTTACAAATATGCATACATTATGAATTTATTTTGCATTCATAGTTAAGTCCCAGGATTTTCTCAATCTTCATGAAATATTTATAAAACTTCATATTTGAGTTAATTTCATTAAAATCTGTGAGATAAACCAAATTTGGATAAATTCTGTGTGTTCTCTTTTTTTCACCCAATATAGGTTGCATTTCTATAAATATTGACCATGCAATTTCCCATGGGAACTCCTTTTACGGCTAAAACTGTACCACTTCTACTATGAAGTTTTGAAAAAAAATCATATCCTAGAATGGAAAGTTCATATGCACTACTACTTTTTCAAAGGTCAAAATATAGGGCTGTGCGGCATATTTTCAACGTTTATATGCTCCGAACTTCAAGAGTTTAAACTACCACTAAGTTTCTTAACTACCCCTACCTTAACAGTAGGATTACCACAGATTTCAATATAAACAATATGCATATGTATATTTACTGGTAACATTCCCAAGTTATGTCTCTATGAGATGAAACATAGAGATCATAACTGGGATCCAGTTTGTAAACAAAATAAATTATCTATGAATATTCTATATCTCCCCAAAAGAGGCGTGGTATTTACAAAGTGCAACCTTAAGCAATATGTTGAGGTTGATCATCACTATATATTTCCTTAGACATGTTAGATAGAATTTTTTGATGCTTTGCCAAATTTTACAAAAATATAAAAGTATAGGTTGCCGTGTTATTATTCAAGCTATAAGTCTTGGAAAATTACACAATTTTGCATAGGTTATTCATAAAAAAAAACATTTGTTTGTGATTAAAACGGAATCTATCCGATAGAATTTTGAAATATAATATGAGAAGATATATTTCATAATATGCTTTCAGAAAATAAAAATAAAAATGGGGTCACAGAACTTGTTTTCTTCCTACAAGTAAAAAATAAAATGTCATTAACAATTTCTTTTTTTTTTCTTTAAGAGCTATCTCCCCTTCTGTGGTTAATTTAAAAAATTGAATTTAACAAAATATGTGGTATTTTTTTTAAAACAGTCTATATAATGCAATACATCACTTATATTCTTTTTTCTAAATAAATAGAAATACACCTTACTTCCCAATCTGTCTCAAATTTTGCAGATTGACGCTAGGAACTAGACTGATTATGTACTGCTATTTTAAAATCCGAAATGGGTGTTTAAATGTTAATCTACCGTAACTCATCTTGAAGTACTGAATTTAAATCTAACTTATGATTTGTCTTGAGAGGCTATTGAAATTGTACACCATATATTTGTTTTATCCATTGAGAGGACATGGGGAACCTTTGTACCAAACAGGAGAAAATCATTTGTGGTGTAGTGTATTAAGAACATTTACCTGATGTTCGCAATTCCTCCTCCGCCACTAAATGGTTTAATGTGAAAGTTATATAAGATACTTATTTAATATTGAAGTTGTGCATCATGTAATATTTTGTCTACATGGTGGGTTCAGAGGGTGAGCATTGACGGCGCCCAATAGGAAAAATACCTTTTTTATATAGGATAACGCCTACTAAATCACAATTCCTTCCAAACTGTTATATTGACATTGAGTACTATAATAGAAATGCAAAAGATATAGGGTAATCACCAATGACACAAACGGTAAACACAAATAAAGCAAGGGAACAGCGCTTTTACTGTTGTTATTCATCTGAAAGTCACAGCCAGGCCTTTTAACAAGGAGCATTTGATCATTTGTCGAAATTGGATTTTCTATATTTTGTAGATACATGATCATGGTTTAAGAAAAAAGTAAATTAAATTCAAATATTTTTTTCTTTAGAAAATATACAATTTTGAGAATTTGAAATTGCACCATTATGACAGTTTCGAAAAACGTGGGATATTTAGATCAAAATAAGTAAATATAGGGAAATTAATTTAATCTCAGATATTAATGTATTTTCAAGGTTAAAATAATATAGTATTACAACATTATATTACAAATAAAACAGTAACATGTTGACAAACACTGATATGTGTCAGCTAAAACTGTTAAAGTTACCTAATTGTCAGCTTTATTTTTACAAACAATGGCTATATATAGATATTAAGACCCGATTAAGAGCCAGTCTGCCAGAACAAAACATGCAATTAGCTCCAAATGCTATCATATTGACCTGAAATATTTGCATACATGATACCCTGATGGCAACTACTCTCTCTGTGCAAAATATCTAAATAAGATATTCAATGGTAGTTTCTTTATAGAGCGCCATTTACATATAGCCATTTATGGTAAAATTAAAGCTAAAAATTAACCAATTTCAGCAGTCTTAAGCTGACAAATAACAGTGTTTATCAACATGTTACATATTTATTGGTACGAATATGTTGTAATACTGTATGCTTAAATATTTTAATACCTTAGGTTTATTATTTTTCCTATATTTGCTCATTCTGGTCTAAATATCCGAAGTTTTACGAAACTGCTAAAATGATGAAACGTGCTAATTTTTAAAAATCTATATTTTCTCAAGTGGCAAAAAATTTGAATGCCATTTGTTTTTTCTTAAACCATAATCATATCTCAACAATATATAAACAATCCAATTTCGGCAAATGTCATAGTAATCAATGTAAGGTTATTAGTTTTGCAGGAATTCTGGTTTAGCAGTTGTGATCCTATATTAATGATGTTTCTCCTATTTGGGCCCCTCAATAATCCCCCTCCGGGCCCCACCTTGTAGAAAATAAATACATGATGCACAACTAAAATATTTAATTAGTATGTCATTCGACATTCACATTCAACCCTTTAGGTGTTATAGAGGAGTTGCGGACCGCAGGTAGTTACACAACACAACTACTGATTTTCCTTTTTTTTTTCGTCCAAAGTTTCCCCCATAAACCCTCAATAATTAAATCAAACATATGGTGCACAATTTCACAACCCTCACAAGACATATCATTTAATCTAGTTTGGTTTAAATAGAATCCATTCTGTACTGATAAAGGACTTAAGGATTGTAGATACATTACAAACAAACAGACGGACAGACAGACAAACAGACAGATAGACAGACAGAACGACATTACGAACATTATATAACCCCAGCTATCACTAGCATGGGTATAATAAGTTTCTATACAAAAGGATCGAATAGATTCAGGACAGTCAATAATTATTTCTGGCCTGTTTAATACTTTGTTGCTCACTGTTGTAGATACTCGTATGAATCTTTCCAATGGAATAAGAGATGTTGAGAAAATGTATCATCTCACCAATAACTATATCTAGATTAAAAAGGAGGGATATATTGTATAGATTCATGAAACAAAATCTGTATGTGTACTTGATAAAATCCCATCAAATTTAAGAGCTTTTGTTACTGTTCTTCATCTAAAATTCACGGTGATGCTTTTAACATGTTGAACAAAAATTCACACCTCACTCCAAGTTCAAAAGAACCCTTAGCACTGCTTAATATCATCTAGACGTTAACTGTCGTATTTGTATGCACATAGAATAACATGTTTAAATCATTTTCATTTTATATTAATTCAAAATATATGTATCCAGGTTTTTAAAGTCAAACACTAATACAATGACGGTGGCATGTTTTTGTAGTTTACACCAAAAACTGGGGGTGATCTCATATGCTCCGGAAGGG